TTGTCAATTTCTACATCACATTTCAGGTGTTCGAACTTCGAACTTTCGAAGTTGGGACAATGATTATGTAAAAACATTAATGTTGATATCAACGAGGGAAAAGCCAGGGAAATATCCTGCTGGCGTGTAGATTTGATCGGCCAAGAGTGCACTTGTATTAATGAAAGTAGATTTGATAGGCTATATGAATTTATAAAGTAAAAATAAATAAGAATAATTTAGAATCATTTAAATTTTATTAAATTTTGTATGAGACAACGATCTTAATGGAGTAGACTGAAAAGGAAAGATAGTCTGAAATTTGTATGAGACAATTTTAGCTGAATGGAGATGGTACATAATAGTCTATAGATATTATGAACTACTTATATGATCCAAAGTTGAATATATTGAATTTTTTTTATTATGAACAAATCATAATCAATTAAAAATTTGCATTTGTTAATTGGCTATTGAACTATCCATCATCATATATTATATACTTACACTTTGGTCCATATCAAGGTTTTAAATTGTGATCACAAATGCAGTTGCGGCTTTTGCAGCATTTACGATACGTATTGCGCCTGATGTGATGTGAACTAATTTTATGTCTGAACAAAATAAGGAGAAAAATTATTGGTGTTGTCCTGAATCCTGATGCTACCCTGTTGCAATTATGTAGCGGATTTTTTCTATGAATTGAAATCCACTTGGTTTTGTTACCACCCCGTTTGATTTTGTAACAATGCTTTATTTTTTATGCCTAAAGAAATATGAAAATTTTATTAAATTGCCACACTTTTTATTTTTCACTTTGTTCATCTGTCATTTCATTTTTTATTTTTTAGAAACATACTATATTTTCTTACTTTTTCATATAAAAAGTGTACAACAATCAATTTATCCTTGTTTTCTAAACCTATGTCAAATTGAAATGTATCTTACAACTAGAGGGAAGAAGTATTTATTATGGAAAAGTTGTCATTCATTTCAACCATTCCTTAAAAGAGAAAAAATGTTTGTTAGGATGTTTTTACTTGGACTGAAATATGTCCCAGATCAGACAAGACTAGACCAGTCCAAACCAGACCAGTTCAGATCAGACCAGACCAGACTTGCATAGTTAGGGTGTTTTTTTTTTGACTGAAATTTCCTGGTCTGGTCTGCTCTGGTCTGATCTGGTCTGATCTGGTCTGGTCTAGTCTGAACTGGTCTGGTCTGGTAAACGTCTGTTCTCTGTGTATTTTATAACTACGGAAGTCTGGTCTGGTCTGATCTGATCTGGTCTGGTCTGATCTGATCTGGTCTGGTCTCATCTGGTCTGGTCTGGGACTGAAAACAGTCCAAAAGAAAACATCCTTATAAAAATACAAAGAAATCAGACATTACCAGATCAAACCAAACCAGTTCAGACCAGATCAGACCAGACCAGCAAATTACAGTTCAAGTAAAAACATCCTTATTGTGACAATTTAGTCAAGATTTCAGCTATGCAGTGCGAAATTAATAAACGGAGTAATTAATATTAACTCTTTGTACATATAATTTTGTGCTTTTAATGACAGAAGTACATTTGGAGTCTTAAGTTTAAGATAGGAGATTTGAGTCTTCAGTCTTAAGCCTTGAATAATAATATTGAATTAGAGTTTTCTTTAGGTGATGTTGGTGAACATTGAATTGAATCTTTTCCCATTATTTAAAAAACTTGGAGATTTGATCTGTTTTATTTTGTGAATTTCATTGGACTAGAATTTGGAGTCAGTCTTATTATACTGTAGTATTTATTTGACTAAATCATGTAGATTTGAGAATGTTTTAGAAAATTTGAAGTTTAGTCCCAAAAGTGGACACTTGTTGGCCACTTTTCCCGACGCCTCAGAAAGTCTATTTTCCAATACAAAAGTCCTTAATATGGATAAATTTATAGGTGACACATTCATACATGCAAATGAGTAAAGTTTTAGGAATAATAACAAATATATTCATCCAAAAAGTTATGAGACTAAATCAATATTTAGATTTGGATCCTTTGCCGCACGGCAAAGGTGCCTTGCGGGCTTGCGGCATCCAATGACAGGGGACAACAAAGGAGGCGAGGGTGTGGGGCAGTCAAGCTCGAATCGCGCGACTATTAAAGCCACATGTCCTACCTTAGTTTCTAAAGTAAGGTAGAGAATCTCAATCCTCAATATCTCTCTCCGTTTCCCCCGTCCCAAAATGATTTTTGATTTACTTTTCTTAACTAATACAATATCATTATATTCTTGATATTCCCAATTTGTAAAAAAAAAAAATCAAAAAATGAATTACAATAAAACCAAGTACTAATAATATCTGACGAAGCCTTTACATTCAAATTATTAAAATATCCAACCTGCTGACAATCTATTTAGTTCCTTGGAAACTAAAACTGTCAATTAAAAGAGTAAAACTTTTGTTTCTCATAATAATTACTTTTAATTTTTTTAATTTATATTACTGATTATACAATTGAAAAAGAAAATTAATTGAAAGTAATTAATAGGAAGTATACAAAAAATAAAAGTTCAAAACTTTGTACGTGTTAAGAGAATTGACACTAAAATTTGAAATTGAATGTAATAAACATTTAATACCTAAAATTAAAAATTAAAAGACAATTAGATTTACATTTGAAAGATGTTCAAACCGAAAATATGATTTGTAATCATATTCATATTTTATATGTTTGAATATTAATTCAAATCATAATTTTATCATCTAAATCATGAACCGAATCAAAATTATTTATTTTGTTTACAATCCTGTCTCTGTATGACACTCCTAATTTATTATAAATGAGCTTGAAATGTGTATACGTAAATGTGTGTATGAGTTACACTTTGTGACTTTGAGCGTATAGATAGCTATTAAAAGTTACTCTGTATTATAGTGTTATTACTACTATTATTAACATTACTATGCTATTATAAGTTATAACTATTATTAATTGAATATATTTGAATTGAATATGATGATAATGTTATTTATATTTAATAATAATTCGAATCAAATTTAATATTCTTATTTGTATTTGAATTTTTCGAATTCAAATCCCAAATCAAGTATATTCAAATATTCATATACTCCTAGATATGACTAGATGAGGAAATTTAATTCCCACTTTTCCTGGTATGCTTGACTAGATCAAATCATAAATTAAGGTCTATTATTGAATTGATCGTTAAAATTTGTGGTTACAACTTACGTACAATTTCCTACTCTCGATAACACTTGGGAAACTTAATTCCACTTTCCTTAGTATGTTTGGATAGTGGACTCGCAACTTTGTCCGGATCTCCTTATTTCTCCATGTCATACTCACGAATTATAGCTTCTTCTTTGCTTCCAAATATGAAACTAAGTCAATTTATACACGTTCAGAAGGTGGGTTACGTTGCTTTGAAAAGTCGATCTCTTTCAATGAGGATTGGAAATACATACACAATAATGATTAATTCACAGAGTACCGAAAATAGATCTTTTTAAATTATAAAATTAAATGGATTGTTAATAAAATATTGTTAAATATATAAAGCACCCATGAGGCACTTAAGCATCACCCAACATAACAAAAAGTTAAAATTATACTCCGGACGTATGTGAGAAAGAAAATAAAAAATTACTGTTCATGATTAAAAATGGGAACTTTTTAATTTCTTTAATTTCTCTAATGTATTTTCTAGCTAGAGGACCAATATATGCTAGGCTTGTAGTCTCCGACCGAAGTCGAGCTTGAAGTCTAAGACCGAAAAATCCAAATGAAAATATGAAAAGATGATACAACTTGGGTTGTCTACGTCGTGTTTTTGTGTGTGTGTAAGGGTTGTTTACGTTCTTTCATCAAATGTAACAAGCATATAATATCTATATTTTGAATACGTATAATGACTTGAACGAATTTATAATTCTAAATGTTACGTAGTATTTGGGATTATAATCACCCAAGAGTCTCCATAAAATACCTTTCAAGTGGATTCATAATTGTTTAAGTTCTCATATATGTAGTTCTTCGTACTACACTACTACTACTCTCCTCCCTTTTTTATTTAACCATATTTGACTTTTCCAATCAAAGACGAAAAACATTGATTCATTATTTTAATCAATATATATATATGTTAAACTTAATTAATTTATACTTTTATGATAGTATTTTTAACAAAGAACATTTTTCTATAATTTTCATATTATCAATATTACCGTGTATAAATATATAATCGATCAAAGTTGAACAACTTTGACTTGAAAAATAGTGGTTGGCTAAATAAAAAGGGACGAATTGAAGGGAGTGTAATTTTATGGACCTCTTTAAAATAGTGGGTAATTTTACAATTCTATGGACCCCTTTATGTCCCTCTATTCACAATTTTGTTGGCCTTCAACATATTCCTTATTGAGGGCATTTTTGTCTTTTCACATGGGGTTGGGGTGCAAAAACAAAGAGTTTTAAAAACGGGGTGCAAAGTCCAATTTAGACAATAAAATGGGGTGCAAACTCAAATTACCCTTTTCATTTTAATTAATTAGCTTTAATTTGAGATATGGAAATCCTGGCCTGCTGCTGCTAAACCTAGCTACTCCGAACCTTTTTTTTATATAAAGAGCTTCAACTTTGTTATGCCAGGAGAGCGGGTCCGTATATCGTACACTCGAGTGTATGGTAAGCACCATATATACATCCAGGCATAAGTGAGGGTTTTAAATATTTTATTTCTTGGATGCTCAGTTACGTTCATAATAGTGCATGCTCATTTGTTAATGCTATCATGCTTATTTTAAAATTTTATATCGATACACATCTCATTAGTATATTATGCTGATTGGAAGTGACTAAAACTATAATTGCAAGATGAGAAGCTCAGATCTAAAAAATTACGGAGTACTTAATTATTTTACTCAACATGCCAAATTAAATTAACATAAACAATACTAAGAGTAGTACTGCAACTCTAAACTTTATAAATGTTATATGGATTCCATACAACAACAGCAATATCCTAATTCCTATACTCAAATTCTTAGCCTCAAAAGAATATGGATTTCTTCCATATATAATAAATAATCCGAATTGTAACATAAAACCAGCTATATCTAAGTTCATTATTAGTAGTTGTCTAAAACCATTAGTAGAGAACATATTTGATAGATTCAACCCCATTTAACGATCAAAAGGACCGGTGGGATCAAGCTGCTTACACAAGCTCAAATAAGTAAGATAAAGAACCCTATCTTTAGCTCCTGTCCTGTGATTCTTTGTGTGTTTACAAAAATATCTGAGCTGCTCGAGGGTGCAGCAGCCGAGTAGCTGACCTAGTAGCAAGAAGAGCCAGTTTATGGCTTTCTTGCTACTCGCGATAACCGGTTTGGCACTATTCTCTTGCTCGCAAAACCGACACGTAGGGAGAACCGGGTTCCTCCACATCTCGGGTGCCCGATCGTGCATAATCGCTTTGTTTTCCATGATAAACCTCCCAATTTCATAAAACTTTTGATGCAAATCAAATTCAATCACATACGTACGCTCGCATCGCTTGCATTGCACATCTCCGGTGATAGTAGATATCTTGTTTGATACCAGATAAGATAGGGGTTGTATAGTTGCTCGCTTATCCGTCGACCAGGGAAACGGAGGAGGAATAAACTCGCTCTTGCCTTCACGCGGTGCCTGCGACGGGTTTCGTCGCTGTCGAACTTTTCTAAATGGAACTAGCTGTCCCCGAGCTAATCCCTTGAGACCCATTGAAAGTTGAAGCACATCTCCATTACCTTCGGTACCATCCTTTTCATTTTCATTGTCTTTTCTCTTGCGGTTCATTCTTGGAGGCAACATGTCACTTCAAAGCTAGAACACATACATATAAATAGGTGTGAGGCTGTGTGATTAGTAGGCATATTTGCAATTCTAATAAGCAATTTTTTATTTTGCTTGTAATTAATTCATTAACTTTACTTGTATATTTGATTTTGTAACTAATAAATTTGTCTATTTAATGAATTTTTCACCAGAAAGCGCACTTTCTGATAAAAAGCTATCGGGAAAAACGACACAAGAGTCAATAATTTTAACGAAAGTTATACCTTCCAGTGAAATAGTTCTTAGTGTGGACGAATTTCTTAGTTACATAGTACTCCCTCCGTCCCGCTAAGATTGTCTCATTTTACCTTTTCGGGAAGTCCCACTAAGATTGTCCCATACCAAATTTGGTAAAGATTGTGTGGCTCTAAACTATTCTTACTTTATTCTTACTTTATCAATTTAATATAAACCACACAAACTCACTTTTCTTAATAATCGTGTCACTTTCTCTTGTCTCAATCTTAGTGGGACAGAGGTAGTATAAGTTTAAAAATGCAGATGAGTGGAAAAAATGGATACACTCATAAGTTACAGAATAAATCTACAATTTCTCCTCATTAATATTACAGGTAAAGAACTCTAAACCTAATAGTCTTGGAGGTATATAAAGAAATTAAAAGCTTTGTACATATTGCAATGGGACTATTTTAAGGTAATTAACTAATTAAATAGCTAATACCCGGGGTAATATTAAAATGATCTAATCATTCATCAGTATATAAATATACATGAACTCGGAAACAAGACCTTTGTTTTGCAATTATATATGCCAGATCAGGTATTTGTAAAGTACACATTGTCCAAACTAGGGCTGGGCACGGGCCGGGTCGGGGCGGGTAATGCAAAATAAAATGGAACCGCCGGTTCCATTGTACGGTTCGGTCCGGTCCGGGTATTACAATTTTCAAAATAGGAACCGGAAATTACCCGGCCCGTTTGAAACGGGTCGGTCCGGTCCGGGTTTTACGGTTTCTATTCTCATGTCTTGAAATTAGTAAAAACTCATGAAGTTCCAAAAATCAATAATCAATAATATAGGACATTAGCAAGTTTCAAAATAACAACATAGTGGTGCACATGTAATACAAGCGACAAGTCCAATACTCCATAATTTCATGTATATAAGTTTCAAACAATTAAAGAAATTCCAAAAATATGCAACCTAGTCAACATACATATTTTCTAACATTTGTATTTAAACATGTTGTCTAACATCACATATTCAAGTGATTGCTTTTTTTTATATTAAATTTTCAGTATTAGCCAAAGTTGACACATACATGGTGGGTGGTAAACACAATTTATCTATTTTAAGAACAATATAATAAAAAATATAACAAAATCATTTTTAACAAATAATTAAATTCCATTGAAAGGAATAATTTAATAACAATAAAAAGTAATAAGATATTTATGAAACATTTAATCAATAATTTGAAAACAAAAGGATGTTACTCCAACTCAATTTAATATATTATCACAAAACTATTTCAAAACCGATTATCACAAAACTATTAATAAATTAATATATAATATATATAACGGGCCGGGCCGGGTACCCGTTATTTTTTAATTTTGGAACCGGTCCGGTTCCTTAAAAAAAATTACCCGACCCTACCCGGACCGTTTTATGGCAACAAAAAATGGAACCGGCCCGTTTTGGACCCGAACCGCCATTACCCGGACCGGACCGCGGTTCCAAGACCCGTTTGCCCACCCCTAGTCCAAACATATACCAGACCGGTCTACAACAATTGAGACTAGACTTAAACAAATCACACCAAACCAGAAAATTACAATCCAATTAAAAACATTCTTAAATATATAAGGAATTCAAAAGTAATAAAATTACAATACAATTAAAAACTTCCTTAAATTTACGCTTTTAAAATACAAAAGTATTACTCTATCCCTCCCCATACCATATTATTGGGACGAAAGAGAGTGACACACCAACTAAGACAAAATCAACTTTGTAATAAAGTAATCAATCAAAAACAACAACAACAAAGCAATCGTACTCGAGTACATCCCTGCAAATCCCTATTAATTTCTCATTAAAATTACTTTTCACTTTTCAAATACAGTATCAAACAATAATAGCGAAACATCCAAAAATGAAACAATTGGACAATCACAGGGGGACGGGGGAGGTAAAATGCAAGGAATTTAAAGTCTTAGATTTATAGTTTTCGATCATTTGGGCAATATATATATATATATATATATATATATATATATATATATTGGTGTCTTATCGATATTGAACGTATCTTTTAGCTTTTAGGTCATGGATTGATAAAATCATAAAATTCCTAATATCAATGTTACAACATATATACTGCCTTTGTCCCTTAAAACTTTGTCAACTTTTCTTTTTTTTTGTTCCACTAACGTTGTCATTTTCTTTTTTAAGTAAAGAAATCGTGGTTCTACTTAATTCTCTCCTCTGCACAAACCACGACCACACCATTTTTACTTTATTAATCTATGTGCCGATCTAATTTGGCCAAGTTTTAAAAGGACGGAGGGAGTATATTACAACAACAACAATATAATAATAATAATAATTATTCTTGCAAAAAAAATATTATTATAATACTGAAAATAATAGTAGTAATAGTAATAAAAATAATAATATAATAATAATAATAAATGAATAAGAATTCTATTAATTATAATATACTCCGTAGTTTTAATAATAATAGACACTCAATTAGGTAGAGCTGAGCACGGGTCGGGTTCGGGCGGGTCGGGTCTGCGTACCCTAAACCCGTTCGGGTTTTTTAAGTTAAATACTAGGCCCGACCCTTTGATATTTCAAATCGGGTTTTTCGGATATTTGTAAGTCGGATATTATCGGATATCGGATCGGGTTTCGAATATTTCGGTTATATTAAAAATATATATAATTGGATAATTAAAGTGTTTGAATGCCACTTTGACAAAAATTCTACAAACTAGTGCACTAAACATTCAAATTACGCAAATAATTTAATACAAATTGCATAAATAATTACACAAATAATTGAACACAAGTATTAATTTAACATATTCAAAGTACACACTACATAATTTAATATATTTCGAATATTTCGGTTATATTAAAACACATTATAATTGGATAATTAAAGTGTTGGAATGTCACTTTGACAAAAATTGTACACACTAGTGCACTACGCATTCAAATTACAAAAATAATTTAACACAAATTGCACAAATAATTACACAAATAATTGAACACAAGTATTAACTTAACATATTCAAAGTACACACTAAATTATTTAATATATTTCGGATATTCGGGCGGGTCGGGTTGGGATTATACAAACCCTACCCGCCACCCGATCTAGGCCCAATACTAATCGGATTTTCGGTTTCGGGTTTTTCGGGTCGGATATCCATTTCGGTTCGGATAATATCCGAAAAAAACTTCGGGTTTTGCGGGTCGGTTCGGGTTTTGCTCAGCCCTACAATTAGGTCAGATTAGAAATATTCATGTGAAATTAGAAAATGTAGATCAGATCGGAAAAAAAGATTCAAATCACATTAGAAAAATTCAGATCAGACCAGATATGAGAATATTAAAAAACATTTAGATCAGGTGAACGAAGATTTCTTTTCTTTTATTTGAAAGGAAAACTAACTTATATTATAAATATATAAAAATCAAACATCTCCACAACCATAATAAGCCAAGCCTCCCTATGAGACTCCGCGTAGCCAAACGGTCCTCATCTCTGATTAGAAACAGAGTAGACCACTCAATTATGAGTGAGACTAATCGCTAACCATGTGAGAGCTTTGAAGCTTTTAGCGGTCAGACAAGCCTTATCACTTCCACCTAAACAACCATCATAGAAACTAGCCTCAAAACTAAAACACCTACCGCTATTTTTCACAAGAATAGCATAGTAAAGGTTCTTAAAGAAATTTAAGTAAAAGCAATAAAAGTAGTTTGTCTCGTGATCTCACTTCGAAATTGAAATCCATGGCGGAGGTTCAGGAGGGGGCGGATCGCCCCTACTGTCCTTTCCAAGTGCAGCGTCATCCCGTCTTCATCATAGCCGCAATCCAGATCAAAGCCGTCGTATGACCCCCTTTGTGTTTTTTCCGACGCAATATACCCGGCCACCTGAAATAAGTTTGCGCTGGATGAAGCCGGCACCATAGATTAATTCCACCGCCATCTCGTCTAGTATAGTTGTCAGGTTTCCTAAAAACGTTGATGTGTTGCAGTGGAAAACAGGGCGGTGTGATCAATCCGCCGCCGTGAGTTGCCCCAAAACCTTGAAGTCTTCTGGTTTGGATAAGTCGGCGTGAGTTATCGAATAAACAGCGGAAGCCGCTGCCGTGGAATTGCCGTGGAAGAAAAGCTGCGCGAAGAGTGCTACGCGGCCAACACTAAATCCTAGCTATCGCTAGGCCCCTTCCGCTTAATTAAGATGATTTTAATTGTGAACGAAGAATTTCTAAATGGTGATAACTCCGGTACCCATTTAAAAAATGTGGTACCTATCATTCACTTGATTGGTCCACACCATTATACCATTTTTAATTTAGATTTAATTAATTCATCAGCATCCTTCTGATTGGATTATGTGGACAAAAGTATGATACCTCAAGGATAGTGTAGAATATACCTTTCTAAATATTTGAATTGAGATGTTTTTATTTCTCCAGGCCCTTTTTGTATCGAAGATGGGAGGAAATGTTACTATGTTGGCACTTAGCAAAGAGTAAGACATGCTTGATCCTAAGATCGTCTATTTGGAAATATTTGAGATTTATTTCTTTATTTTATTTTATAAAGAAAATTGTAAATATTATTGCTCTTTAAACTAAGATGCACAATAAAAAAACATATGGAGACTACAGAGTATAAAGTTAAGGAAGGAAAAATTTGTTTAATAATCCGACATTGAATAATTAAATGAAGCAGAATCACTTCATGTAAATATTATCAACTTAATTTCAATATTTTTGGAACTTAAATCATCACAACTAGCTAGCACGAAACAGGAAATGGGAACGCATGAAACAATATTTCAAAAAAGTAGACACGGAACGTGGGAAACATATAAATATAAAAAATTCAGGGTACGGTACATTGCTTTTCTAACCAATCGCACTTCAGTAAATTGACACGTCACAAGATTCCTATTATTTGAAATTTAACCCCTCTGTCATCGTCAAACCACTTGGTTGCGGAAAACAAGATGTGAGTTTGGTACTGAAATTAAAACGGAGTACTTCGTACTGATTTATCACCCGATATATTCCTGGTGTCTTGATTCTTGAGGGAAGATTAAAACACCCGTATACCTTCTTTAAAAAATATGAATGGAGGCAATTTGGGTCTCATTTGGATTCGCATCAAAGGACCCTATGGGAGTGTTTGCAACTGCTTAAAAAAAGCACTTCTCAGTTTTTGACTTTAAAAAGCACTTATTTACCAAACACTACCAATTTTTACTTTTTCTCGGCTTGCGTGTGAAAAGTGCTTTTCCCTTTTCTATTACACAAAAAACACTTATTTTACCAAACACTACCAACTTTTACTTTTCAAAATCACTTTTTTCTCAAACACTATCAACTTTTACTACTAATCACTTTTTCCTTACATCTCCAAAAGTGCTTTTTTTTTAAGCAGAAGCAGTTGCAAACACTCGCTATATAAGCTCCTTATGAAAGGGTTAGGGCAAACACAAAGTCCGACTCGTTGATATCTTCTACTGGCCTGGCTTTCATTCGCCGATATCATTTCCTTGAAAATCGATGGCATTCCGGCCGGTGAGGGAATCTATGTGGTCGTGGCCGGCATGGTGGTGAAAAAGGAATACGTGAGTCAATAGCCCGGGATGTAGGCAAAGACCGGTTTGGCATTGGTGCAGACTGCAAAAACTCTTCCGATTGTGCGTCGTCTAAAAGAAACTCTCAGCACCAGTCATCGTGATTCTAAGGGACTACATAGAAGAAGCAAATTAAACTCTAGGGACTATAATGCAAACAAAACTATTTGTTATTTGTCAACGTGGCATCAAAACATTAATTTGATTGGTTTAAAAATCCAGGGTACAGGTACATTGAATATTTCAGGATGTACCGTAGAAATTTCCTCAAAGAATAGATTCACAACTAATTCTTAAAAAATAAAAAGTTAAAAGTAACAATTATTAGTGACCTTTAGCATTCATAAAATTGAGTCCAGCCGGCAGTGCCATAAGAAATTGAAATTAAAAGTAAACAGTGTGTATATTACCTACTAGTATTGTATGCACACTAAGGCCTTGTTTGGTTCAAAGGAGGGGAGGCGAGAGTCAAGGAGGGAAGGCAAGGGAAGGGGAATATTGTATGCAAACTAAGGCCTTGTTTGGTTCAAAGGAGGGGAGGGGAGAGTCAAGGAGGGAAGGCAAGGGAAGGGGAAGAAAGGATTTTTATTTTTAAATTTATAATTTTTTTAATTTTTTTTAATTTTTATTTTTTTTATTTTAATTTTTTAAATTTTTTAGTTTTTATTTTTTTAAATTATAATTTTAAATTTTTTTTATTTATTTTTTTTTTTTATGTTTTTTTTTTTCATTTTTTCATTTTTTAATTTTTAAATTTCTAAAATTTTTAAATTTCAAAAACTTTTTACTTTCTACTTTTTTATATTAGGGAAAAGGGTCGGATAGGGCCTTGAACTTACTTTAAAAAAGGTCATATAAGGCATTATATAGGAGGCTCTATCCGGCCGACACCATTTGGGGCGGTTTCCGGTGGAAATTTTTGATGAAATTTTTTAAGCATCTTATTCATTAAGTCTAGTTTACTCATATCAAATTTGAACTCAAACTTCAATCGGGAAGGCATTAAAATGAATTCTTGAAGATTACTGCGCAGTTATCTCAAAAATTTATTTGAATTCCTTCCCAATTGAAGTTTTAGCTGAAATTGTTTATGAGTAAAGTAGACTTAATGAATAAGATGCTCAAAAAAATTCATCAAAAACTTCCACCGGGAACCGTCCCAAATGGCGACGGCCGGACAGAGCCTCTTATATAAGACCTTATTTGACCTTTTTATGTAAGTTCGAAGCCCTATTTGACCCTTTTCCCTTTATATTACAACGTTTTGTCCATTTAGTAGGAGATAGATAATTTGTGGTTATCAATACGTTTTCTCCGAAATACCCCGATTTGGGAGGCTTAAAATGGGAGGAAGTGAGAAGATTTTGGAAGCCTTCTACTTTCCTCCCCTTCCCCCCTATTTCCTTCAACGAAACACACACAAATCCCTCACTTCCCTCCCCTCCCCTTTGAAACCCTCCAACCAAACAGGGCCTAAGTCAACTAAGAATTACTAGTAAATAATACACCCTTCTTCCCTATTTTTTCTTCTATAGCACAAATGATATGGAGATTATAATAGTGAATATTGTGTTGTGAAGAGTTGTGCAGAAAAGAAAGAAATTTGTAAGAATTGTTACGAATCACAAATTGTGAATTTATTTTGAGACATTAAAAAATGAAAGTGAATTTGTTTTGGAGAGTACGTGTAATCAAAATAATGCCATACACTCGTCTTCTCATGTTGTACACATTATAGAGGCGAGTCAATCCCCTCCTCTTTGATCCACTCATCTCCATATCGGTTCATTTGAACTCATTGGCCGACCCAGAAAGTCGGAGCCATGGGATCCCTATCCTTGTGTATCTCTAATTAATATAAAACTAATAAAAATATATGAAAGAAGCATAACACTTCATACTTAACGTACACCATCAATCCAGGATCAGCTTCCTAAGATTCAAAATCAACATATTATTCAGGTAGATTATCAGGTAAATTAGCTTCACTTGCAGCAATTACTTGATTCAATTCTTCATTTACTAATGACGAATCATTTGAATTAACATCCGAATTTGTTTAAATTTGGGTCCAACACCGAAATACTTTTCATTCTAACTCATACAATATTGAAAATAACGTTTATAAATACATAAATATATTAATTAAATCTTAAGATTCAAAGAAAGCTTAATAATGCAAATGCAAAGAGGCGGAGGTTGATCGATTTGGTGATTGCAAGGATTGAGGAATTGGCAGGGATAAAAAAAAAGGCAAAAGGCACAGGGTGTAATCGAACATGATTCCTCACACATGGAAGTTTCTTAATTCCGTGTTTCCTCCCGTTCCACTGACACAATCTTTTGTTTTTGTTGTCGTTTTTATTGTATATATACATTTCCTATTTAATTTTATATAAATATATGTAATATATAGGTATTTTTCTGAAGTCCATGGAGTCCCGGGACCCCATTGGACCCTTAGTGGGTCCGCCTTTTTTTGAACTAATCAACACAAATAATTCATACGCGAAAATACTATTTGTACACGGCAAAGTGTATATCTATTTAACACGTCGGTCAAATTGTTTGTGTACAGACAATTTGACCAGCTTTTAGCGAAGAGAATCGGTTGTCTGTGCGAAAATCGGTTTATACAGACAATTTAACAGGTGTGTAAAATGACATGCACAATAGCTTGTGCACCAAGCATTATATTAGCCATTACGTAGTATCAAAGACATAGTAAATTCAAAACATAGAAACATAGGAAGAGAGTATAAAACAGTAAACATTAAGCACAATTACAGAAATTATATAATAATGCTTGTCACGGAATTGTAAGAGAAGGTGCGCAATTACATGACGATTGACTACTCACCTAGTCACGGATTTGTAAGAGAAGATGCTAAGAAGAGGAACTGTGGAAATCATAGGGTTTGAATATGTATATATCAATATATGTATATGTATTACATAACATAATGTTTGGATATATACGAACCAATAGAGTTTCAACCCGAAAGGGATTCCTAATTTTTTGTTGCCTCAGATTGAGTTATTACGGGACCTCAATTTTGTTGCCCAGAAACGCGTTTCTCGCGTTATTGTACCACCCACTTAACTTAGCATGTTTTCTTTTTTGGACTGTTTTCAGTCCCAGACCAGACCAGATTAGATCAGACCAGACCAGATCAGATCAGACCAGATCGGATCAGCAAATTTCAGTCCAAAAGAAAACATCCTTACAACATTCTTCTCTTGTGGAAATATGTACTCCGGATATCATTAGGGGGATTTTCGGAATTTAGTTTTTCCATTGACAATTTGACAAGCTTTTGACTTAGTTCCATAATCTTCCTTTTCCCTCCATATCTATCCAGATTCACATGAGGAAATACCTTCAAACTAATTAAATTTGTAAATTTAGTTTAAAAAAATTAAAGTTTAATAATTTATCCGAACACAAAACTGGGAAGGGGTGGGAATCTATTCATATGTACACTAACACATTTGCACATGTAGTAAATTCCTGAAATTAGGAATCCAGTAATAGGTCGTGGAATGGTATGTTACTATGTTAGGATATTAAGATTACGTAATAGTAGTTCCAATTTTAGTGATATTTATATAATTCACACTGTATTTCTTAATAACTCCATTAAAGTTAAGGGGCGGAGATAATTAATACGGAGTAATAAATAAATAAATAGAAAGCTAATCCCTATCGAATGTACTTAGTACTCCCTCCGTAAAGTTAAATCTATGTTCGTAATTAGATTTTCTAGTAAATTAAAAATTTTATAAAGTTAAAAAAAGATAACTCAAATTGATAAAAGTTGGATGTATAAACAAAAGTTTTATAAACAAGGGAAGGGAACGAGAGATTGAATGATTGAGAAGCGCACCTGCTTTGTGTTTGGCATGGGAAAGTCACCTCTAAACAAATACTTGGCATGAAATATATAGCCTCCTTTTACTGCCTTTCGTGAGGCTTTTATTTGTGAGGCAAATAGTTATCTCCATTTAGGACACTATCACCGGCCGGTGCATGCATAGGGTAGAAAAGATCGACAACGATTAAAAACTACTCCGCATAAAACGTACTCTGTAACAAACAAAAGACGAAAAATAAAGACATGTGGAAAATTAAAGATATTTGTGTTGTGTCTTAGACTCTTCCTTTTTTGCAATTTTGTCTCTTACATAATACGGTAGTAATAGATACAATTTTTTTGAAAGACATGACATATACTCCCTCCGGTTTTTAATAAACTTCACACTTTCCTTTTTGGGACGGTCTAAAATAAACTTCACAGTTCCTTATTTCCTTTTTTGGCAAAGAAATCTACATCAAAACAGTGCCAAACAGTGTCTCATACAGTGCCAAATAGTGTCTCTACAGTGCATCAACAGTGTACTCTACAGTAAAGTCAAATTTCTTTCCTTATTTTGTGTGAAGTCAAAGTATGAAGATTAAATAACTAGAGGGAGTAGCAAACAAATAAAAAAGAACACAGTGATTAATAATAAAGAAAATAATGACAGCAATATATATTACCTATGAGTTTTAGGATGTTTGTATTTGGATTGTTTTCAGTCTCGGACCAGACCAGACTTAAACAGATCATATCAAACCAGACGTAAACAGACAAGACCGGAACAGATCAGACCACACTTAAACAAATCAAACCAGATCAGACTTGACTTCCGCAGTTATAAAATACACAGAGACCAGACGTTTACCAAACCAGACTAGACCAGTTCAGACCAGACCAGACTTAAATAAATTAGACCAAACCAGACTTAGACAGATCAGAATAGACCAACAAATTACAGTCCGAGTAAAATCATCCTTAATTAGACATTTGGACAAATATGAGACCACAATTGAAATAGAAGAAAAAGTGATCACAAAATAATGAACAAGCTGAAATGTCATGACTGAAACCACTGTTCTAAAAACCGTTTTAGGCGCATATCTAGTCCCCGCCTAGACGCTAGGCGGTAGCCCAACAGCTCGATTTTTGTCTAGACACCCCGACTAATTAGTTTACCGCATAGGTGAATTAGTTGACCGTCGGCCTATGTTGCCTAGCTTACCGTTGGCCTTTGTTCTTTTTTATTTGTTTGCTCTATGTCATGTTTTGCACCCAGAGTGCCTAATCAGCCGCGTAGGGTGTCTAGATTCGCCAAACATTACTTTACTTTTTAATTTTATTTTTCTAAGGGAAATATGCACATTTAACTTTAACCATGAATATAGAGAAATGTAGTTGTGAATTAAGATATCAAACTATATATGTTTGTATATATACTCAAATTTTATTACCTTGCGCAAGGATGACACGCACAAATCGAGAAAATACTCAAATTTTATTATCATCTAATAATTAGAACATAGCAAAGTTAAGTGATTAGTTATCTTATACGGAGTACTACATATTATTAAATATGGCAATTCTACAATTCAAGTTTATTTATGTATGTGTATATATTATGTATACACACAAGTACAATATTATTTATCATATTTATGCAAAACTATTGATAAAAATCCAATTCATATGTCTCTGATTAGTCCCTGACTAGGCGTTGGGTTGGCGCTCGCCTAGCACCTAGCGTCTTTTACAACATTGACTAAAACCATGCCCAACTAGCGATTTCTCTGTCCGCATCTTCTCTGCTTCACATCTCATATTTCTCTTCCTCCTGATGTGCACTAATTGTTAGTGCATAACTTTACATCTTTATATTTGTTTATGACGTTTGTTTATCATGTTGTGGAAGTTTGTAGCCATTAGTTTGATTTGATTGTAATTGTATTTTTAGCATTTGATTGTATGTTGTAGGAAGTAGTAAGTGGGGCTATCAGTTTAGGATAAGTTTAGAAGTAAAAAGGATGAAAAAACCTGAGTTTAGTGCAAAACTCCGTCGAGTATGACCTTTACCTGGTTGGGTATAATGAGAAATAGGAAATTGCTACGAAACTAGAAAATACCCGGTTGAGTATTCCATATACCCTGTCGGTATGAAGTGATTTCGGGCAAAAAGACATGCGGAAGAACACAAATACGCGCGAAAAAGATATGATTTGACAAATATCCGGTCGGCTATCCGGCATAGTTGATGCTAAACACCTATATATAACACCATATTCCTTCACTTTTAATCATCCCTTCTTTCATATGCTTAAGCTCAACTTAGAATATTATTTTCTTTATATTGTTCTAGCATTGTTTAGTCTTCAAATGAGGAGCTAAACTTCCATTTCTTGATTTTGTTCTTGAAGTTTGTTGAATATTAAAGTTTTGAGTTATTTTTTTAACTTCTGATCTTGAATATTAATTCTTCCCTTAATCTTATTTCTTTATTAATGTTGGGGTGTTGCTAAGTGACAATTAGTTAACGCTTCAACATTAATTATTACTAAAAACGATCAACGAAATGATGGTTAATCGTTTATAGTTTCACAAGTAAGTAACTTCGGTTTATTAATGCACGGTTGTGGTTAATAATCTTAAGAGGGATTAATTTTGTTGGTTAAATAAACCGAAACCGTTGTGTTGATGTTATCAATCTCAATTGATTTCATCAAGGAGTTAAAAAGATTAAATGTTACTATTAAATTGGTATACGACGTTGTTCTATATTAATTTGATTAATAGTAAGGGTTGTTAACGAACGGTCCTTGTTAATAACTATCCTCGATGAATTGGAGATACTCCTCGATTGAGTATTCAAGAGGGGATAAGTTACATATATAACTAGGATCGACTAAATATATCAACAAGTGGAAAGTAGCAAAGCCAAGTCCTTTTTATCTTGAATTAAAACACATAAAAATTGTTCGTCTTTGTATTTAATTTAACTAAATCACACAATCCCAAAAACCCCTTTTATTACTAGTTCATTGAAAGAAAGTTATTCCTTTCCCTATGGATACAAGTTCTACTTCACTATACTACGTATAAGTGTTAGTATCGAATTTATTTTGAGGCACATATGCCTTGAGTGTCGTCAGCTCCATTACCGATGGACAACTAGAAGCCGCCGCCTGAGTGCTCTGCTACCGCCCATCCCGTCGCCTTAGTTGCCGTCACTACCCTGGTTTTTTTCGTCTCTTCACTGCCGCCGCTGAGAGAACCATCTTTCACTTGCTCCAATCGCCATCGTCGATGTTTCAGTTGCTACCATTACAAGAAAACAGGAGTTTTGTCACGGATTCCGTCCGTGACAAGTTTGTCACGGATGTATCTGACATGTCACCAAAAAGTTTTGTCACAGACAAAATCCGTGACAAAATTTTTTGTCACGGACAAAATCCGTGACAAAGGGGTTCAGTGACTGGAAACTTATTCCGGCATAATTTTTTTTAATTACGTCCATTTGTCACGGACAAATATGTGGCAACGTTTGTGACAATAATAGTTTTAATTTTTGTTTGTCACGGACCAATCCGTGACAAAGGTCAATAATTGATATTTTAAACGGTCACCCAATTAATGTTGTACGGAAAGAGTTTGTCACGGATTTTTCCATGACAAAATCTGTGACATAGTCTTTTATATATGCAAAAATAGTTTCATTCGACTCATACCAGTTGAAACTCAGTTAGAGTATAATTTAATATCTATTAGAAGATTGAAGGATGTAATATGTCTTGTGTCATATTCCCTGACTATGCAGATAAGGTATGTTATTTGAATTATGTATATTTTTTAATGCTTAATATTACTCCGTAGTTTTTTGTTTCAACAATATATTTAACTATAAACGTAGTGATATTATAATTTATTGTGCATATATTTGAAATTCGTGACGAAACGTATATTAATTTTCAATTATTGGTAATACCGTTAATTTAGGATTTCAATTGATAGTATTAGTTAAATTTATATATTATTACTTAATTGAAATGGGTTTATAAAAATATTAGGTTTGTTTATGAATTTTAGTAAAAAACCTTATAGAGTTTTAAGTAATAATAATAGTAGTAAAAATATATACTAAAGTTTAGCAATTATTCATGTTAATGCCTTTAATTTAGGATTTGTAATGATTTAAGTTAGGATTTAAACATTACTTTAGTGTGAATATTACTGTGAATTATTTAAATTTCATTTAATTTAAATGTTAGTTAATTTATTGTGTATTAGTAAATATAGTGAATTTCTGCCATTAACGTAAGGATTTAGTGGTTAAAATATATACAATTAGATTTTAACGTTTTGCTAATTGAAATGATTAATGTCATTAACATTTTGCTTTTAGTTAATTAATAATATTAATTGAACGTTTAAGGGATAAGGGTCAGATAGGGTCTCGAACTTGAAAAAAAATGTCAAATAAGGCCATATTTAGGATGTTCTGTCCGGCCGACGCCATTTGGGGCGGTTCCCGATGAAATTTTTTGATGAAATTTTTTGAGAATCTTATTCATTAAGTCTAGTTTACTCATATCAAATTTGAACTAAAACTTCAATCAGGAAGGCATTCAAATGAATTCTTGAAGATAACTGTGCAGTTAAAAGCGCAATTATCTTCAAGAATTCATTTGAATGCCTTCCCGATTGAATTAGTAGTTCAAATTTGATATGAGTAAACTAGACTTAATGAATAAGATTCTCAAAAAAATTCATCAAAAAATTCCACCGGGAACAGCCCCAAATGGCGTTAGCCGGACATAGCAGCCTAAATATGGCCTTATTTGACATTTTTTTCGAAGTTCGAGGCCCTATCTGACCCTTATCCCAACGTTTAATTAACTTTGGTGAAATTTAGTAAAATTTAATACATTAAGCTTCCTACATATTAAATAATGAAATATATTAAACATAACAAATTATTGTTAGTGGTTATGATATATACAATTAGATTTTAATGTATTTAGTCTTGAAAATCTTAGTATTGTGAATTATTATGATTATGATTCAAAAGTTGGTTAATTGAAATTATTAATGCCATTAATGTTTTACTTTTAGTTAATTAATAATATTAATTGAACGTTAATAATTAATTTTAGTTCATTTTAGTGAAATTTAATATATTAATGTTCCTACATACGTAGTACTCCCTCCGTCCCTGAATGTTGTTCCGATTGCGGAT